TTTCGGTTAATGTCAGAAATAATGTCATTAGATTTGTATATCTTGGTGTTCAGAAGTATAATCTACCGTGTTCTTCTCTTTTTCTTTGATTTCTTTCTTCTCTTTAGGTCAATTATGTATAGGTCCAGGGAGTAATTCAAGATTTATTATTGTAGCATAAAGTGGTAGATTTGTTTTGACCAAAGTATGAACTTGAAAGTTATGATGATAAGTTGATAACTAATAAAGGTGATACATTTTAAAGTTTGAATTTTTTGTGCCTTGTAAACATTAAAAAATATATAAAAAAAGAGGCAATTAAAATTAAACAAGTAAATATCTTTAGTCATGTAATCATATTACTTTAGGATATACTTCTTAAAAATTTCTATTACTAATTTAATTTGAAAACCTATTATAATGGCCTATTAATAATTTAATTTGAGAATGTATTATATTGTCCAAATTCATTTAGAAAAAGGAGATCCTACATTATTATAAGATCATAAATACAATATTAATATACCAAAATAGCCATAAAATATTAAATGGAATAACTCATAGGGAAAAGACATCACTGCAATTACCTAATTTTTGGACTACAATACCTTATGTGCTAAACTTTAATATTTTAAATTTTAAAATTAATAAAATTTTATCTCTTAAATTATGATTAAAAATATGTAAGAAGGTTTAATAAAATTAATTTCATAAGAATCCTCCGCATTGGCAATACATTATCATTCCATAATGTCCAATACCAAGAAAAATAAAAGTAATATTAAATGGACTGCATAAAGAGTTAAAATTGAGAAAGAAAACCCACGATAATATATTTTTATATTATATTTAAACTATTTTCCTACTCAAATAATATTTTTTATCAATTTTTTGTGTAATATTAAAAACTACCCAATTATTAAACAACAACTAAGAAAATATTTAAGAATATAAATGTGTGAGAAAGAGAAAAAAATGGTTGGTAAGAGTCAATGCCACTAATAATTCTACAGATATAAAGATCTAAAAGTGAAATGTCATATCAATCTTTTACTCTTTGAAAATAAAATTTGTGGTGGATAAAATTATAATTAAGATTAAATATTTAAAACAAGAGATGAACTAATATTAATATCTGAATCAACATATAATAAATTATTTTTTATGTTAAAACTAAATTATTAAATTTTTAATTAATTATTTAGCAAGAGAATCCAATTCAATTATTTTTTAAATTCATCATACGAGTAAAATTCTTATTCAAGTTAAAAAATATCTTTGGGTATATAAATTTATTCCATAAAAAGAGCGTTAAAACACAAAGTAAAAAGGTTAGTATATTATTAAGAATCAAAATGCTATACACATGTCTGAGAAAACACAATCAAAACTAAATGCTAAATAAGAACAAGCTTTCAAGACTATATTATAAAGAGTCGCTCTGATATAACGGGATTATATATTCTTTGTAGATGCCTCCGGCTGAATCGAAATGATATTTCTATGTCATGCATTATTTGCAAATATCATATCAAGAAGCATGACAATGTTAGCAATAATAGCAAGTGGTGTACCAACAACGATTTTATTGTGAGGCCACCCGCTTTAGATTTGATATATTTCTTCAAACAACTTAAATAACCATCACAAATATATCAAAGCAGAGCAATGATGCTAATTTTATAAGGAAATCAAAGTTGATAATATGGGATGAAACACTTATGGCTAAGTGTCAAACGATCGAAATAATTGCCCGGAATTCTAGAGATATATTGGATATTAATGAACCGTTTGGTGAAAATTAATGATTTTGGAGGTAATTTATGTTAGTACTACCAATAGTTCCAAAATCGACAAAATTAGAGACTGTAAAAGCTAGCTTGCCAACGTTATATTTTTGGCCTCAAATAAAAAGATTCAACTAACAAGAAATATAAAGTAAGAACAAATCCAGTATTCAGTGTCTTCTTGCTTCGTGTCGGAAACAAAAAAGAGCATCCACTAAAAGATAATTTGGTTCTTCCTGAACACTTGGTTATCAATCTCAATGGTAATAGTAGTGCATTTAATTAGAGAGATATTTCTACCATTATATTAAAATATAATTTGTGCAAATCGCATAATAGAATTAAAAAGATATCTTAGCTAGCAGAAATGAATATGTTGATCAACTAAATAAAATGTTGATTGCAAAATTTTAGAGTAAAAACAAAATGCTTTTCTGTTTTTGACTCAGCAGAAAATGATACCAATAATTATTACCAAGAAGAATACTTAAATACCAGATGGCCTTTTACCATACATGTTTGTTGTCAAGTTTATTATTTCTTACCTATGTTAGTGTCACCGTATATATAATAGACTAATTTAAAATTGATCTTCTATTGTATATAAGTTGATTTTAAAGAAAAATATGCCTGTCATGCCACTGAAAAACTTACATACGTCGAATAGCTTATGTAATAGCACACATATGGTATATAGAAGTTTTGACAATAACGTCATACATGCAAAAATTATAATACTGGTCAATGTGCTTCTAAGTATATTCTTATCCCTGAATTCAACTTTCGTCTTTCGAAACTAAAGAATATCCTTTTAAATTTGTGTGAAAATAATTTTTAGTATGCTTATATTTTGCAAATATAATAAATAAAGCACATGGACAAACATCCTAAATATTGGACTATATTTACCGCAATATGTTTTCTTGTACGAACAACCGTTTATTGCACTTTCAAGAGGGATATCAAGATCGACAACAAGAGTTTTGGATAAGGTAGAGCAACCAAAGCATTAGGAGGAGACATACACAAAAAAATATTGTCCACAAAGAAATGTTCGTTAAGATACCATCATATTAAATACTTTTAAACTATAATACATAATTATCTAACTAACATGACAAAATTGATCATTTGTGTAAGTTTTGATAATGTTATTTAATTTTAAATTCATGTATAATGCTAATGTAATAGTAATATTTTTTAGCATTTAGATGATTGTTGTATTATTATACATAAAATTTATCTCATTAATTAAATTTTATTGTTCCTTCACATAAATAAATATTTAAATCATCATTTATCATTATTAACGTGCAACGCACGTTCATAGATACTAGTATATATATAAAATTATGTATAATAAATATATAATATATGTATACCGTTTAGAAAAAACAAACACTTAATTTGACCAGCTATTTGTATAACAATTCCATTATTATATTGCAATGCGTAACTTTAGTATTGACCAAAATTGGGTGTGGGCTCTGCCAAAGTAGAGTTGGGCCGTTGGAGGCCGATTACAGTTGCAATGCTAAGGGTTGAGCATTGGGCTTTTATCCAAATCATGATGAGAAAACTACTCTATAGTCCCTCAAAAATTTAATAGCCCATGTTTTTTTCCATTGACACGAAATGTCCCTTCGGCCCAAACATATTGCATCTAATAGTCCGAAATATCTATTTTGTATATTGACAGTCTACTTTGTATATTTTTTGTATAGTGACAGTCTATTTTGTATATTTTTTGTATAGTAACAGTCTATTTTGTATAGTGACGGTCTAGTTTGTATATATTTTGTATAGTGACAATCTATTATATATAAATTATATAGTGACAGTCTATTTAGTATATTTTTGTATAGTGACAGTCTATTTTGTATATATTTTGTATAGTGACAGTCTATTTAGTATATTTTTTATATAATGACATTCTATTTTTGTATATATTTTTTATAGTGACACTATTGTATATAAATTGTATAGTGACAGTCTATTTTGTATAATTTTTGTATAGTTACAGTCTATTTTGTATATATTTCAACTTTATGCATAGTTATCTCCTCTTCCTCTCATTGAGAGACCAGCCACCAGCGTCCATGGCCTCACAGTTGCCGAAAATGGTAACAAGATCGTCGGAATTTTAAATTTTCAGCCAAAGATCAAAATATTAACTTCATATTCACGTAAACTATAAGAGAAAATCAGAGAAAGAAGACAAGTCTGTCTCTCTCGTTGCCTTATGCTACACCTCTGCCGAAATCCGGCCGGCCAACGATGACTATGACTGCTCCTCTCGCTTTCCTCTTCTTCCCTATAGGTTGCTGCTACTGATTTTTACTAGTCACCGCTGGAATTGACCACTGGCTGGTGACGATATTACCCCCATCGACGGTGACTGTTACACGCTATTGATACGCCATCCCTCTCCTCCTTCATCTCTATTTCTTTTGTTTTGATGTTGTTTTAACGGGTAAAAGTCCAGATCTTCTTAGATCTGGCCGGTTCTAGGATTTTCCGACGAGGTATCTAAACGAAAGGAATTCGGGTCAGTAAGGTTTTCAGTTCAAGGACTGGGAAACTATAAGAGAAAATCAGAGATAGTAAGGAAGATGGAGGCGACTGCTAGCAGTTGTTATTGTTTTTAGGTTATGACTTGTATGAGTCAATTTGTGGCTACCGGATGATATATGTTTTGACCGATGGGCTATAAATGAATTTCTCTCAATCATGATTCCCAGACGAAAAGTTACTACCACTTTTAACCAAGCTAAGAAAAAATTCACTGAATCAGAATCTTTCGCCACCATTCACCAACATACAATAGTAACGAATTTGGAAAGATAAAATATTCAGTAACCAAAACATTCTTACTTGACAGAGCTAGTTGATTTTTGGTGCTTAATTACAATTTATTAACAATAGTACTTGAACATGTAGTTTTTGGAAAAGATTGATAAATACATATATTTCCTCCTCCTTGAATTTCATACATGCCATTGAGGGGTTTGTCCCCGAAGCTGGCTGGTTTTAACTTTCTAAAAAAAATAAACCAGGAATCTCCTAATATGACTATATCCCTTTGCTGGGAACCTTTTTTTTTTAAAAATAAAAAAGACCATACTTTTGGCAATACTATCCCCAGTAGAGAGATCCCTTTGATCTCCTATTACTTTTCTAAATTCCTACAATCTGTACAAAGTACAATACTCTAAACTAATACCTAATCAGCTGCTATTTCCCTAACTGAACTATGATTTTTGAGTCAGTCCTGGCTTCTTTAACTGTGCTTAATTCTAGCATATCTACTGCTGCAGAATGAGGCTTGATAGAACTATCAAAGTTGTGATGATCCTTTTCATGGTTTGCCTCGAATGTCCATACGAGGACTAACGCGACCATTACTAGTGACAGCAAAACAAGTCCTGCCCATGTCATATGCGCGTTTTTCTTTAATGGTTTGCAATGTTTGTCAAGTATATCTGAAAATGAACTGTACACTGTGTTACATTCTGCTAGGCTTTCAATTCCAGGGTACACATCCAGTATCTTTTTGAGAGCAGTTATGTATGACTCAATGTTGTTGAAGATCCTATATGGGATCAAGACTCCTCCCTTGCAGCTTGGATCAGTGCAAGTCAACATCTTGATTATCTTTATAGAAGAAGAGAGAATTCCATCAAATTAAAGGTAACGAAAAACTAACGACTAACTACAAAAACTATGTGAAAAGAAAAATGTAAATCGTAGGCGTTTGAGCTATATATACCCCAGGGAGCTCTCCTATCCTGATCGCGCTAGATGGACAGTTCTGATCTGGCTCGTAGTTATAGTCTGGTGGACCGGAGAATGGATTGCAAATTTGTGCAACATTTCCATAATTTGTAGATAGCTCCTGATTTACCTGCAAATTTCCAAAAATTCCAAAATTTTCAAGACCAGTAAATAAAATACTTTATTTCAGGTTAGAATTTCAGGTTTACCTTGTTCACTACTCGATGAATCCCTTCACTGGCAGCATATAAGATTGATTGTGCTGAGAGCAATTCATCACAGGGGAGGATTGAACTCAAGCTATTATTGTAGGGATTTATCTGGAAACTTTCTAGAGCTGTGCATGCATCTCTAGCAAAGCTGCAATAAATACAACTTGATCATGAGTACGCCGAGGCAATATAATTTTGAGATGAAACAGAAAACTTGAGTAAGTTATTGGAAATCGTTTTCGTACTTGTCTAGGAAGAAATAAATCCCGAAAAATAACCAGCAGAGACTTGTAAAGATCCAACACACTACAATTAGCCTGCGTAGATCAGAATATATTGTTTCAGAATTTTGCAACTAGTGGAACATGGCCAAGAAGTTGGAAGTGTTAGGAGGCTAAGATTTGCACCATTGACATGATATACTTACAGGTGAAAATTTCTTCTAAATTTGAGGATTCCAAATACTGCAATGAAAACAGATTTCAGCTTTAGTCAGCATTAGATATTTAATGATAGCCCTACTAAGAAATTACTACTACTATTTTTGGATATTAGTCTCCTTTTCTTCCTCTTTGCATACTAGACCAGTACACTCACATGTTAGAGAAATTGCAGCAGCCAAGTTGAGAGAAATAGTCAGTGTAGTTACTATGTACCTGTCAACAAAAAGTAGTGTGCATGTCAGTCTTTGTACGGCCTGGAAAGCATAGGCAAATCTATGACAGATTCTGTCCATTCAACTAAATATATTGCTTTTGACTCGAACTATGCATGAATATACGGAAAAAAACAAAATAAAATACATATCGCAAGATCACACTCATTCTGAACGTATTAACACTAGATCCTGAATTCATCTTAGTGAAAGGGACCGATCTAGAATATAACACCAAGGGGTAAGGTAGAGAAAAGGGGAGGAGGAAACTCACAGTATCTCAACGCCTTTCTCGACTAAACGCCTATTTTTTGTGGCTCCCCGATGTATATCAGCAGCCTGTCTGTCAAGACTTTGGGAAGTGGGAATGAGGAAATTAGCAGCCTCATCACCTATATCAGTATCTTCTAAGTCAGTATTCATATCTCTCAAGGCTCCGGTAGTAGTATATATAGTCTCTGATGCCCCATCTGCTGTATCAATGATAATGTTCACAACTCTATCTGTTCTTGAACGTAGTTTCGCATTCCCTCCTAGTACCAGGCCTGTAGCTGTTCTGCAGTTATAGTGAAATTATCTCCTCAGTTTTGTCTAACCTTTCAGAGTGAATGAAACTACTTCCTTGGAGGATGCATTATATAAAATGGGCAGCCCGGTGCACAAAGCATCCCGTATTCAAGTAGGGTCCGAGGAACCACCGCACCCCAAGGGGTGTGACGTAGGCATTAGTGGCTGCTTTCATGGCTCGAACCCGTAACCTATAGCTCACATGAAGACAACTTTACCGTTGCTCTAATTGAACTTAATGTTTATTGCAATAAAGTTATAAAACTAGATAAGTGAGAATGCAAAGTGACACTTACATTGCTAAAATTGTCAAGAAAACAGCTGAGAAAATAAGCCAGAGATAACAGTGCTGATAATAACAAGTTGATCTCTTCTTAAGCTTCATGTTCTTCCTTTTGCCGCAGCAGGTAGAGGCTAGAAGATATAGTCCATATCCTAAGCCACAGAAGAGCCACACTACTGCAATGGCATAGCCATATATACCTGTAAAGATGGTGGACTGCACAACAAGTTAAAATTTAGTGCTTGAAATTGCTTTTAGTCATAATGTGAAGAAAAGTATAATAACTCGCATATAATTGGCAAAAAGATTATATTTTTTTTAAAATTTAAAAGTAGGTTATGGAGTACTTATTATGACTATACCTAAAAATTGGACAAATAAATGGTAAAAGTTAAAAAGAAAAAGAAAACAAGGAATTATATTACATTGATGTATAAAAGAAAAATATACACACTCAATTAGTATAGAGGGACTATTTATCTGTGTTGTTAGGACTCTTTAAAATTGCTACAGCAACCTTAGCATTCTCATTTCTTAGCATTCTTTAAGAGTCCAAGCAACATAGAATTACTATATGGTAGGAATTAAGAAATGCAAATTGCTCACACTCCAATAGTGTTTATTTGTAATGTCAAATCCTCCTCTGTATTTCTTGAAATTGTCCAAAGGGTCTATTCTCACTGTATCATCTGATTGCTTTTTCCTAGCTTCTGAATCATTGTCTATCTCAATTAATATTCTTCTTTCTGCAGAAATCAACAAGTATTTTCATCAATTAAAGGCATTACTATATATAT